CGGTGCCGTCCTGGCAGTGGCTCCTACCGCCCCCCCACACACCTGGAAGTGCAAGATGATGGTCCAGATGAGGCCCAGCGTCAGCTTGGGGTTCCCGTCCGCAATGTCATCATTCCGGATGTTCACCAGCTTCACCTGCCAAGGACAGAACCCCCCCCCCCGCTGACTCGTCTGGGAGCCAGGCCCAGGGCCGGCCCCTCCAGCCCAGGGGGGGGGAAGGACTCCTGCCCGCCCACCTCTCCCCAGGGGACTCACCTGCCGGTGCTTCAGGTAGTCCAGGGCAATCTGCACATTCTGCAGCTTGTGGAACCGCATCCGGCCCTTCTCCCGAGGCTGCGGAGGGGGGGGGGCAGGAGAGAAGGGTGGTGAGTGCCCCTGCCCCGCCGGGCCCCCTGTCTCCGGGCTTTCCTCTCCCCACACCCCCCAGCGGGCGGGGGCCAAAGGCAGGCTCCAGGAGGAACAGGAAGAGAAGGACGCTTTCTCCGGAAACCCTCTGGCCAGAGAACAATACCCAGGAAACGTGTGTGTGTGTCCCTCCCCCCCTTTCAAACACAGACGGTTTCCTCTCAGCCTGGACACCTGAGCCTCATCATCCCGCAGAGCTCCCCCCTCCCTCCTAAAAAACAACTCTCCCTCTCCTCAGCAGCCCAGCACGGTCCGTCTCCAACGCCCGTCCAGGTCCAGGCAGGGAACAGCCTCCCCCCCCCCAGCCTGAGATTCACAGCCCCCCCCCGCCCCGCCCGAGATGCGGGAGGCTGGGGAGAAGAGCCCCCGCCAGCACGGTCCGAGGTTAAGCAGCACTCTCTCATCATCATCGTGGACAGCGGCAAGCGGGACAGCGTCACACTCCGGCACAAGCGGGGCAGCGGGCGACCTGGGCCTCCCTGCGCAGGAGGGCATGCGTTGGCGGCGGGGCCATGCGGGGGGGAGCCAACGGGGAGAACCACTCACCAGCCGCAAGTTCCGGATCACGTCGCGCTCCCTGGGCTACGGGGCGGGCGGGCGGGAGCAGGGCAAAGAAGAGCGCAGAGGCCCAAGGGAGGAGTCCGGCCCCCCCCCCAGGGGAGGCAAAGAGAGCGGGCAGCAGAGGGAGACAGAGAGAGAGAGAGACACAGAGAGAGAGAGACCAGTGCAGCTCACGAGAGACAGACAGGCAGACAGACGGATGTTGTTAGAGCGACAGGGCCCGGGGGGGGGGGGTTCAGTCCCGCCAGGG